GACATTCGCAATCGCGAGTGTGAGGCCCGAAGACGACTCATGAATTTCTTTTTAAAAGCCACATCGTTGGGATGTAAGAGAAGTGCATCCAGCGCCGGTGTATTCTGCAGTAAATACCGCATCTCCTCCGCCCCACCCGCACACTCCCCGTGCACGTAGAGAACAGGAAATACCGCGCGATCCTCATGACGGCGGAATACCGCCTTGCGAAGTAATTTCTCCCACACCGCCGTGTCAGTCAACGGGGGCACTTCTATTCGCATCTCATCTCTTTCTAAAGTTTTCTTATCTTTCTCTTCTTTTTTTTCTTTTTCTTCTTTTACTTCTTTCTGAATGGTGATACCCGCTACTTCGCCCTTCTCTACCGCCGTGTGAAGGAGTTTGGTGAGATCTGCAAACGACAAGATACGAGGAATAATGCGACGATGAAAAAAAGCTTTCATCCACTTTTCTTCAATAAACCTCCGTTGTCGTTCCATCTCTTCACTCATCTTCTTATTTTTATTAAGATTGTTGTTATTGTTGTTGAGATTGAGATTGGAATTGAAATTATTGGGTCCATACAATACCACTACAATATGCGGTTTTAAAATAGATTCCCGCATCCATTTATATATACGCTCTGCAGCCACATTTTCACGTTCCGCGGCTGCAAACTCCACCTCTGGAATGGCCTCTGATGCCTGCACAAGATGTAATGCCAATAAAGTCTCGGACTCTCGTTCATTAATAGCATGAACTACTCGTTTAATACGTTCTTGTAGTTCTTCTTTTTTCTCTTTTTCCTTCTTTTCTCTTTCTGTTTCGTTTCCTTGTGGAATAGAGGATGTAGGGTTTGTTGTGATACACACTCCACACACCTTCCGCACACGATTAAATCGAGTCACATCAAAGCGACCACTCCACGCTACGGAGAGTTGTAGAGATGATAATGGTACATTCAGTGCCCTTGCTAACACCGCACGGTATTGATCCCGTAATCGATATTGATAATGGGCGAAACCCACAAGAAAGTCTGGATTGATATTTCCATCACGTGGCATAGGTGGAAGTGGGTTTTCAAACACGGCTTGAATGCGTTCTTGTTGTTTTTCATACAATTCATCTAATGGGGTTCGTCCAGTTGTGGGATCCACGTGTTCATAACACCATCCCTCTGAAATACCCCGCACTGTGCAGAGGAGGGGCCAACACACCGCAGTTCCCCGCATGTAAATGGAATGAGATGAAGAGCATGTGGATTGGAATAGTAGTAGACGATGCTGATGATGTTGTTGTTGTTGTTGGAGTAGTGATCTCCACATTCTTCCAATCGCTACAGAAGAAGTAATAAAAAGAAATAGAAAGAGTGAGAGAGAGAGAGAATGGGGAAGGGGGAATAAGAAGAAATACATCATACAGTCCTTATCCAATAAAGAATGGTACTGCTATTAATAATAATTAATAATTAATAATAATAATAATAATAATAATAATATTGGTAGTAGTAGTTGTAGTTGTAGTAGTAATATTAGTAATAGTAATAATCACAGTAGTAATAACAAGAAGAAGAGGATCCACAACAGAAGTATTGGAGAATTGAAGAATTGGGAGTGGGTTCATATATGGGGAAAGGAAAAATAAAAATAGAAATAAAAATTGCTTTCTTCACATAACATTTATTCATGGAATGCAAGAAAAACAAGAAGGAAAAATACAGGAAGACCACTAAAGAAAAATAAAAAATCAAAAAGATTTAACCCTCTTCCCCATCTTCACCACTACTCCAATAAAAAAAGAAAAAGAAAAATACAATATTTACTTTTCTCTTTTTCTCTCTCTCACTCTCCTGTTTCCTTTTCCCATCTTCTTCTTCTTTGCTTTCTCATTATTTCTTTATTCCCTAACCATATATATATATAAATAAATTGCTTCTCTCTCTCTGTATATATATATATATATATCACTCCACCAAACGTTCCAGTCTCTTCTTCATTGCTGTCCATTGCGCTGCCTGCGGCCGCACCTCCAGCACCTGCGAGACACTCCCTTTATCTACCACAGCCACTCGTGTACACAACGCCTCTATTGTCTGCACCTGATGGGCAATCAACAACACTGTGCAGTCCCGCAAATCCTCCGTAAGCACACGCTGCACAACAGACTCCACCTCCGCCGCTGCAGCTGCCAATTGCAGTTCATCAAGCAATAAAATCTCCGGTTGATGTAGGACTGCACGGGCAAGCCATAATAATTGTCGTTGACCCGCTGAAAGCCGTACATTTCCGCAGTGATAATGATAATGATAATGATAATGTTGTTGTTGTTGTTGATATTGTGCGGATGATGGTGGTTGGTGCAGTGGGGCGTCTAGTCCACCGTGTTGGGCGGCGAGTGTGTCTAGATTGACCCTACGCAGTGCAGCCCACAGTGCCGCATCTGAGAAATCATGTCTATTTATATCTTCTACTTCTCTTTCTTCTCCTGTTGGTATGATGAAAGGAGAAGCTGTTGAGATAGTGTTAATAGTGCTAATAGTGTTTGTTGTTGTTGTTGTTGTTGTTGAGCCTAGGAGGAGATTACTCCGCCACGTGCCTCTTACAATGAGAGGATCTTGCAGCACTAACATAAACCGGCGTCGCAGTGCGGGATATGGAATAGATCGAGTGTCATTTCCACACAATTGAATTTCATCCCCCTCCAACACATCCACAAGCCGCAGGAGTATATTAAATAGTGTGGACTTTCCATCCCCAGAGCGTCCAATAATACCAATACGCTCTTTTGGATATATTCTTAAATTCACATGATGCATAGCATATGGTAAGGACTCACGGTACTTTGCAGAGATATTTACAAGTTCCAATAACGGTGATGATGAGATGTTTTCTGTTTCTTGTTTTACATTTTCTTTTTCTTCCCTCTTTTTCTTCTTTTTTACTATTTTCTTATCCTCTTCAATGTGAACAGATGGATGTTTATGTTGTTGTTCTTCTTCTTTTGGTTGTTGTTGTTGAACCGTATCGCTTGTTTCCATAGATACATGGATTTCCACTTTATGAATTCCATCCTTCTCCTTGTTATCGTTATTATCATTATTCTTATTTTCTTCTTCTTCTTTTATTATCATCGTAGTAGTACTTGTAGTAGTAATTGGAATGACAAGAGGTTCCTCTGGTGCCTTCTGCAGTGCAAACAACTGTTCCACACTCACAAACTGCAGTTGAAAGTCCCCAATACTCCGACAGAGTCTCGATAGTGTTTGTGAGGTCTGCAAACAACACACCACCGCCACTCCAGCAAAGGCGGGAGTCATTATATAAGAAGCGAATAAAGCCCCAAGCAGTGCAGCTGTAGTTGTCATCATTACAGTAATAAACTCTAATCTTAAACTTACCCAGCAATTCGTCATGTGACTAATAATACTAGCAGTGTTGGCAACATCCATTGCCTTGCAGTACTCCTCACGTATGGTATCTCTCAATCCCACACATCGAATTACTGGCGTTCCTTCAAGGACTTCCCATAATATCGTTACAGGACCTCGAACGGATTTATTCTCTAAACGACGTAATTGTCTTGCCACAGCCAAGTAACGTTCAATAACATGATAGAAAAGAAATACAGTAAGAGGAATGATAAGAATAAACCATGGATTTACCACCGCATTAAAAAAGGCAATAGCCATCATTTGTAGTAATCCTGTGGTAATAGCATCTAATGATTCACCTACACTGTGATCTGCAGTTTCTTGATCACGACTAAATATAGTCGTTATACTACTACCTGTGTTTACATCAAAGTAGGATACTGGGGCACGAAACATACGTTCAATAGCTACAAAATGAATATGATTAATAGATTTACGTACGGCGTAGAAAAACATACGTATTCGTGGAATAGTACATAATGCTGCCGCCGCTCCTACAAGAAAGTAGAGAAGCAAAAATACTGTAGGACTTGTTGGTCTTGTGGAAATCCAAAGACTTAGCCAGACATCTCTACCAACTTGTAATACGTGTTGTGTAATATTACTAAGCATTAACCATATTAAACTTGGTCCCATGAGTGATATAAAACGATGTAATTGCGTCCTACTATGAGTGAGACGATTAAACCCTAAAGCATGGACTTTCTTACGATCATTATTAGTACCAAAATCATTATTGTAATCTCCATCACTATCACTATCGGTATCACTATCACTATCATCATCATCGGATGAATGAATCACTTCTGGTTCTTCACGTTCTGCAGCATAGAGATTTGCAATTTTTTTATTTGGTTTGGATTTCTGATTTGGATTTTCCGTTTTTGGTGATTCCACTTCTACAACAATTCCATCCTTATATACTGTAAACAATCTATCCGGTTTTAATTCAGAAAGTCCAACAAGGGTTGCAAGGATAACAGTACGATTACGTAAAAGACCATGAAATACCCGTTTAATAATATGAGATTGTAAAGGAGCATCTAAAGAGGAAAGTACATTATCCAATACATATACATCTGCCCGTGCATATAAAGCCCGTGCTAATGCCACTCGTACTCTTTGTCCGGTTGAGAGTTGTACTCCTTTATCACTTACTACAGAGTCATCTCCCTTCTCAAGAGCATCAAAATCTTCCTGAAGAGCACAGGCTTTAATGACGGTTTGATACCAACGTGGATTATAAGTATCATCTGCCACAATATTGGCTCGTATGGTATCATTCTGCAACCATGGAGTTTCTGGACAATACACAGCCCGTCCAAAGACATAAAAACCATCTGAAGAAGATTGTGTCCCATCAAAGCGAACACATCGAATACGTGTATTTGTAGAAGATGTAATAGAAACATTTGCCGATCCCGCATCGGAATGTACACTTGCGGTTTCATCTACTGGCCCAGTTGTATTAATCATAACGGGTACTTCTGTTGTTGTTATATTAATTGCAGAAGCCGCAGCAGTAGTAGTGGAGAGTCCCACACCGCAGCGATTGACTTCACCCAGTATGGCCAACAACAATGTACTCTTCCCAGCACCCAGTGGTCCCTGTAGTACTACCAGTTCACCAGGGCGTATATGCATATGTACATCCCGCAATATCGGTCTGGGCACTTCCTGTGTGTGATCGGCTTGCCAAGTGAAGGAGGATCCTTGACAAATTACCGTTCCGCGATTTTGCGACCACTCGGCTGTTAAATCCACCCAAGTGCCAATAAACTCATCGGGGGTTTGTTGTAAATAAGATTCAATACGACGGAAGGATGTGTATCCACCTGGGACTGTTGTCATCACGGCAGACCACTCACTCACCGCACTGCGAAGAAGATTTAAAGCCACCAGTGCTGGAATCACCACTCGTACAGTGAGTGGACCACCAGTGAAATGATAAACAGCATAACAAACAGAAGAAAGTAATATTCCAAAGACTTCCGTCATACATGCTGCTCTTGCTAATGCCTGAACCACTGTAATTTCCCCTTCTGTTTCCTGTTGTCGTGCCATGTGAATACGATGTAAATAGACATTCTCTACACCCATCGCCTTTACTTGCCGCATAGATGTAACCGCCTCACCCACAAGTTCCACACGATCTACAGTACGAGATGTACGTTGTTCTTGTGCAGTATGTACATATCTTCCCGCTATACGTTGTAATGGAATAGAAAGAAGCATAACAAGTAAAGCAGCCAGCGTGGAAATAGTTCCTACATATATATGTAAAACATAAAGAGAAGCTATAGCGAAACATGGACATCTCCAATATTGATGTAATTGAAGTAACGTTTGACTACAACGTGGGGCATCTACAGTAACGAGATGAATAACTTCAGCTTCTGTAAAAGTACGTTGTGCTAAAGGTAAGGCTAATGTTTTTTCTAATATAAGTGATTTAATAGCTGTACCGGCTTCTAATGAGGAAAGATATAATTGACTCATATACTCTTGCTGTAATACAGCTCGAGTTAACAGGACAAGGAAGAGAACTCCACATATGTGAAGTGCATTTCCCACATCTACGGTATCTTTTCCTTCCATGATGGTAACAAGATAATAGATAATAATAGGCATTGAAAGACTTAACAAGTCTGAAAGAATACGTAATGGAACACATGAATATACAAAACGACGACCACATCGATGATCTAGAAAAACTGTAAAGAGTCCAACATCTGTAGATTTCCTATTGAACTTGACTTTCTTTTCCATTTTCTCTGATATGGAAGTCTCATCACTTGTAACGGTACTACTCATAGCATTATCATTATCATTATCATTATCATCATTATTATTATTATTATCACTCTTGTCTTGTTTTTTTCGTAACTTCTCAATTTCCTCATCCTTGTTCACCTGTATTTCATCTTCTCCGCAGCCAACAAAAAAACACATAAATGTTTTACCCAATAACCAATATACTGGAGTAGCGAAGAAACGCACTGTATTTTCCAAGAAACTACGTTTAGGTCGTTTGGGTCTTAACTTTGCACTTGTTAATACACGAGGTTGATTTGTCGCTGCAAATGTCTTATCATCTGAACTGTCATCATCATCATCATTATTATTATTATTATTACTATTATTATTATTATTATTATTACTATTGTGTGTACCAAACTCAATAGAATCTACACTACCATTGCCATTATTATTATTATTATTATTAATACTATTATTATTAGTATTAGTATTATTATTATTATTTTCCTTCTTTTTTTTTCCATACCATTGTCCACGATTTACCCACAACTGCCATGCTGGTGTAGCAATATTCTGTAAAGAGGTGAAATCTTCAGGTAAAGAGGGAAGAAAACGTTCATGTCTAAGAACATCTCTATTAATTACACTAAAACTCATTAATGGATTAAGCCAACTATATGTTACCCGATCCATCCATCCAGCATCTTCAAGAGAAGGAAAAACATTTCCAGGACGAAATTCATCTTGTTTATCCGTAAAGGGATCATACAATACGCGTTCTCCAACAGGTTGCGTAGTCGTGTTCATAGTTCCATACGAAAGTGGGAAAGCAAGACTACGATTGATTTTAAACCTTAAAGCTTTTACCCTCTTACTGTTATTTTTCTTATTCCCCATATTGTTATTATCATCATCATCATCATCATCATCGTTATTATTATTATTATCCCCATGATCATCACTACTATCATGATCTAGTGCAAGTGGGTCCAACATGGAAGAACTTCCCCAACCTGTAGAATCAAGAAAACCATCACTACCATTTTTATCATGAAATAATTTTCGACAACGGTGTTGTGAAAAGTGTCGATGTGAGGCTGGAAAGGCTATAGTCATATTTGGAAGACCCATAGTCGTAGTAGCATTAAGTTCATACTCTTCCTCTTCCTCTTCTTCCTCATCATTATCATCCTCATTATTATTATTATTATTATTAGTATTATTAGTATTATCATTACCAATAGTATTATTTCTCTTTTTACTTTTTCCTGCTGATTCAAGAGCAATTTCCCACTCCTCTCCACAAAGTGGACATCGTCTATAGCCATCAGGGACACCAAGTTGCTGTATACCGAGAAGAGCATCCAACACTCGTTGAAAACTCACCGTCAGACAACAGACGAGAATAAACAGAAAAATAGTAGTTGTGTAAAAGACAATAGTTTCCAATGTATTATTGTATGGAATCATATATATTTCTTCTCGTAACTGTAGTTGTGAAGTAGATAAGGATGTATTACTAGATACTGCTGTCCAATTAAATACATGATAGGTAACTTCTCCATTGGTATGTATTTTTATAAAAGGTACATATGGATAAGGAAGTAAAGAAGAAATATGAGAAAGCCAGAAAAATACTGCAAAAGAAGGGGGTTCATGTAAAATAAACCACACCAATTCCATTCCACCGCATATAAGTTGTAATAAGGCAAAATGACCCGTGATTCTACCTCCTGTAATCATAACTAGAATGAAAAGAGATGCCAATATATAAAGATAATAATACATCAATAGGGAAAAAGGAGATGCTTCCCATGTGAAAAAAGATTCTCCACTATGTTCATTCATTATTTTTTTATTTTTATAGTCAAGATGCAATAATGGATTATTATGATTTGAACTTCCCCATGTAAAGTGAGTGGAATCTACTTCCCAGATACTGGCTACCCGTGTTCCACTTGGATCATATTTAGTAAGCGGCATCTCCAGATCATCTACAGTTTGAAATAAGAGTGATCGAATTGTGAGTGGAGAGAATAGAATAATAATAATGACTCCAATATGAAATAGATGATATGCGATAAAAAGGGCAATACTCAATTTGGATCGTAATTTATACGAATATAAAAGTCTTCGTAATGTTTCTCTTATACTAAAGCGTACATGCACAGGTGCGTTTTCTCTTTCTGATATACTGCGAAAGAAAGGTTCTCGCTCCTCCTCCTCATCCCGGGAAGCGGCATTCAAAGAGGAATTGTTGGAAGAAGGCATTCAAATACACTACAACAGCCGTTATACTCACAGGTAAACTATATACCCAGATTCTGTTCCCTTTATTATATATATATATATAT